TCTTCCCCCTGCCTTGGTGACTAGAGATGGAGTCACAAACAGCCCACATGATGCAGTGACCCTATCTGCCAGATCTGATATGTACCACAAGTCAGAAATTGACATTTGCTTTGTTAAGCCACTGGGTTTTGGGGGCTGGCTGTTTCTGCAGCAAAACCTCACCCGTCTTGACTGATCTCAGAGATTGTGCAGGTAACTTAAGTATGAGAAAGAGTATGTTTCGGATAATGCGTGAATGGAGATGGGTGGTAGGCATGGGGCATCTGAATGAAAACTGCACATCTCATCAAAAGATATTCAAATGCATTATTTTCTAAGAATACCACGCTGGCCAATAGCATCTATCTGTCAGTGACTCAGATTGGGCTGAAGATCATGATTGAGTCTCCCCTCTGTGGATCTAGGAAGGAGGTCTGGACAACAGTGAGAATGCTCCCCACAGTATGAAGGCTTGCTTTAGGATGTGCATACTGGTAGAGCCAGAGCTCTTCCTCCAATCTGCAGAAACCAGCCAGTGCCCCAACAAGAACCAGGCTTCAAACCTCCTGACCATGGTGGCTTTCTTTGATGCCTTACTGAACAGAATAAAGCGGGTATGATGGCAGAGGGATACATCAGCCCTCTCGCCTGATTCCCAGGCCCATAGCCAGGCCTGGCTGGCTCTCAGGATGTTCCTCAGGCACCACAAGGCAAGCCACTGGCTGGTGGAGTCTATGCTGGGTTGAAGTGGGAGCCCAACTTCCCCTGAGACCTTGCGGGGAGTTTCCTCTCAGCTCTGGTCTCCCTGGCCTGTCTTCGAGGCTGCCCGGAAGCCGTCTCCCTGTGATTAATGAATATTTCCCCTCCCTTGGGCCTGCACTGGGGGATGGATGGGAAGTGGCTTTGGCCGTGTGGGCAGTGCTGGGGTTTGGGGAGCCTTGGAGCGTGGGCTGCAGCTGCTTACTTGGCAGGGACTTGCTTGCAGATGTGAGACTGGGGAGGGTGCTGAGAGTGGTGTGGATCCCAATGAGGTGGGAGCCAGTGCCATTGCCTCTCCCCAGGAAGCACCCCTGTGTTTCCATAGAAGATCATGCCCATGGCCCATGTTCAGGACTGTTGTTCTCAGAACCTTCCCCTGGTGGTCCAGCAGACTGTAGACGTTGGTCAAGTTTCTTCACATCCCATGCACCCCTAGATGTCGATCCCAAGGCCACTCTTACTCAAGCCAGTGTGGTTTTGGTTTAGGGGTTGAAGCAACACTGGGCTCAGACCCAGGCTCCAATTACTCTGGGCAGTAGGATTTGGAGCTGGGAGAGGCCAGGCTTGGAGGAGTTCTTAGCTAATGGAAAGAGGGAGCTGTGGGCTCCTCCCTGCTGAGTGTGTCTCAGAGGACCTGGGCAGGCCCTGTCTTCCTCGAGTGCAGCCGTAGGTTTCCAGGATGTGAGCTCAGCCACTCTGGGTGGGGGGCCTTCCTGTCCCATCTGAGACATACTCTGTTCTTTGTCCAGAGGAGCCTGCAAGGATCTTTTCAACCTGGAACAAAAAGTGGTAAGGGATGCAATCAGGGGAGGATTCTCAAGTCATTGACTGAGTGTGGGGAGATTGCAGAGCAGAGAAGGCAACTCAATGTGTTGTCTATGCTGAAGAGCTTTGTGTTTGCTAACGTGAGGGACTTATCCATTCTTTCTTCCACT